TTAAAATAATTATCTTCTGCTCACCGAGGCTGCATTTATTTGATCAAAAATACAGTAAAAATAGTAATATTGTAAAATATTATAAAAAAAAATGTAAATAACTGTTTTCTATTTGAACATATTGTAAAATGTAATTCGTTTAAATGTATTTAATTTACTCCAGTCTTCAGTGTCACCTGATCCTTCAGAAATCATTTATTATCAATGTTATTATTATGTCTTTATTATTACCAATGTTGAAAACAGTTGTGCCGCTTCATATTTTTGTGAAATATACAATATTATATAATAAATTATATATATAATGTATGCAACATATGCAATATTACAATATCTAATAAGTTATATACACACACACACATACATTTATAAATAAATTAACTAACTAATTTAATAATAATAATAATAACATAAAATAATAACTTTTATTACACATATAATAAATGTAGTAGAATTATATAGTATATTTCATATATTTCATATTCCAAATAATTTTTTGTTCTCAAATCAGTGTCAATAAACAGCTGACAACGTACCCCATAATGTTCACATGTGTGCCCCGTGATGCGCCCATGACCCCAAAAATGTGTGACAACTCATTCCCGTCTCTCGGTTTTCTTTTTTTTTTAACCCAGCACTTTTTAGAGTGTGAGTCATCATATTATCTAATTATGTCTATTTTTTAACGATGCCATTCTTTTCATATGCCTTAAAGCAGCACTATGTAACGTTTGGCGCTCTAGCGGTTAATAAACAGAACTGCACACATCCCGCGGAAGAACATTCTAACCGGAGCTACTTCTCTAAGTTTATGTCTCAGGCGATTCACGCAGGTGTGTGTTACTCCGCAGTGGTGACGACCCGTCCAGGCTACAATAGTCCAAATATAAGTACTTATTATAAGTGTTCCGTAGTGATTCGGAAAAAGACAAAAACGCTGTTTGGAAGATGAATTCATGATCGCTCATTATATACATTTTGCAAATTTTGAACACAGAAAAAGTTACATAGTGCTGCTTTAATCTCTCAATTTCTATTCAAACATATACCAGTTAACATGCAAAGCCTTTGTCCTAAAGTCAGCTCACACATGACAATCATCACTAATGCCGTCTGACTCATTTCAAGTCATTTGATTGGTTGATTGATTGATTTAAAGTGAGTTCAGATCATATGGGCCACATTTTGACAAAGAATCTGTCAAAAAGCATCCATTCAGCTACTTTATTCATTCATTTATTTGTTATTGATCATTTATGCTGAAGATTATAAGCACTATCAGTGCCACACATGTCACTCGCTGGCTGACAGCAGCTAATAATATCCAGTTGAGAGCTGACAGTCTCTGTGCAGTGATGCTGGTGACAGAGTGAGACTCTCATTTCATCCGAGCAAACAGTCCTGATGATGTCCCACACTCTCTCTGAGTGTTCCCTCTCAGCGTCAGACTTCTTCAGCATGAATAACAGCCTCACGCAGGAGCAGCCGTTCTCCTGACATTCATCTCCTACTAAAACCCTAAAGAGCTTTACAGGTAACTTAGGCAACATTGATTAGGTTATGCAACCCTGTATTGTATGGAGAGCAGACCGATGATTTAGACGTGTGTCAAACATGTAACGTGATTACCAGTGTTGGGGTAACGCATTACAAGTAACGCAAGTTACGTAATCAGATTACTTTTTTCAAGTACACTCTTAAAAATAAAGGTGCTTCAAAAGGTTCTTCAAGTGATGCCATAGAAGAACCATTTTTGGTTCCACAAAGAACCATTCAGTCAAAGGTTCTTTAAAGAACCGTCTCTTTCTTACCTTTTTATAATCTGAAGAACCTTCTTTCGCCACAAAGAAGCTTTTGTGAAACAGAAAGGTTCTTCAGATGTTAAAGGTTCTTTATGGAACCATTTAGACAAAAAGGTTCTTCTATGGCATCGTGAAGCACCTTTATTTTTAAGAGTGTAACTAGTAAAGTAACAAATTACTTTTTCATTTACAAGAGAATATCTGAGTTACTTTTTCAAATAAGTAACGCAAGTTACTTTTTTTTTTTTCAATTTATTGATTGACAGCTCTCCTGTCCCCATGTTGAGAGAAATCAGAAAAAAACAGATTCAGTATTCCTCAAAATGAATAAAAATAATGCAACTCAGAATATGACGCAAACCTGCAATAATTAAATGTTAAACTACACAAATATGCTTTATGTAAGTCCCATTCTATTTGCTTCTGAGCTTCGATGATCCAGTTCAACCGTACTAATAAGCACAAATGACTCCAGACAAACATTTGTGTCTTTTTTTATTGCTGAAGTGTGTTGAAATGTCTTCTTCTGCATTCTACTGTACTGACGTAAATTTACATTTCCTTCAGCCTGAGGTGCATTCATTTCACTTTTGGCGTGAAAAGGCTTTTATATTTGCAAAAAATAGAACTTTTTTATTTATAAAAAAAAAAAAAACAAACAAGCCCTGTCCAGATTAAAAAAGTAACGTAATGCATTACTTTCCATAAATAGTAACTAAGTAACGTAATTAGTTACTTTTTTATGGAGTAACGCAATATTGTAATGCATTACTTTTAAAAGTAACTTTCCCCAACACTGGTGATTACACTCCAGAATGAAAGTCAGTCAAACAAAAGCACACAAACAGCTCTCACCTTTAGTACAGCATTTTCTCAGATACGTTTTCTCGCTCAGAAAGAAATTACAAAGACTTAAAGCACATTACACAACAGACAAGCATCAAACTGAGATTTTTATTTCTTGTTGGCTGCATTACGTTGCAGATATTTTCTTGTAACAGCACTTCAAGGCTACTTGAACCAATTCACTGTAAAAAAATTCAGTCGTTTTTACAAAATAATTTTGGCAGCTGTGGTTGTCAGAATAATTGTGTAAAAAATACAGAAAAACACATTTACAGCCAAAAACTGTACATTTTACAGTATAAAACTGTAATTTACAAACAAGAAAATTTGAATGTGAACCAGTAAATTCAACAATGCACACTGCTATTAAAATCTGTTTTGTACCTTAAACATTCTGACAACCACCATAATAATGCAGGTGGTAAAAGAGAAAGCCACATGAAGAATCAAAGCTCATCACAAGTAGCTTCGCCACAAGCAGAAGTATATACTAATATATAGAAGGTGCACGAGTCATTCATGCAAACACTAAACACCATCATTGTAACACACATTATACTTAAATAATGCATTCAACTTTCATTAAACAACAGAAGATGTAACATAAAGCCCAAATATGCATAACTAATAACAAAAACTATTAAAAAACATGATTATTTAAACAAAATACTTTCAAATGTGGAGTGTCATGCAGTGAATTCTGGGAATATCAGTTTACAGTTTTTGACTGTAAATTATACATTGATTTGTTATTTTTACTTCAAAAACTGTACATTTTTACTGCATTTTACTGTAAAATTACAAGAAATATCCGGTTAGATATTTTACAGTTTTTCCCTGTATATAGTACGGGAACTTACTGTTAACCTATTAACAGTTTTTTTTCCGTAGCGTTTTTACAAAATTTTACAGTTAAAATTACACTTATTTTTTACAGTGTACTTGAAAAATGCCAATTCAGTTACATTACTTGCTCTGCTTTCCACTAGGTGGCGTGTTATGCACATTATGGTCAAATGTATTGGACTGATTGAAGATTCAGACTGATGTAATTAATTTCATTTTAATTGGTGCTTTTTTTTTTTGTACAAAGATACATATTATAGATACAGAATAGAAACTGGCAAAAAAGCCACTGGTAGATATTTGTCTGATTATTATGTATATAATATAATATACAAAACGAACAGAACAATTTCTAAAACATTATATTGTTCACATTTATAATAAACGATTGTAAATTAATAATAAATGTTATGCAATTTATTATATTAATTATAATTATATATATTTATTTAATGCTGTAATTAGTGATTAATATACATATATTATAAATTATGAATAATTAATTAAATAATTTAATTTAAATATTATAATAAAATTACTATAATAACATAAATACATTTTACATTTTATAATACAATTTATAAATTATATATGTATACTAATTAAATATAAATAACTATTATAAATCATATATAATATATTAATTAAATATGATAAATTAGCAACATAATTGTATTAGATTTTTTAAAATTGGACACACCTTACTGGATTTATATACATAATATACATATATCATTTAAAATTGTATTATAACATTTTAAATAAAATGTTAAAATAAATAAATCATATAATTTTATTATAATTACAGTTGGACACACCTTACATTTCACATTGGCTTTAAACCCCTTTGATAGAAAGGCATTTTCATAAATGCTTAATATTTACCTGGATGTCTGTTCTTTCTTTCTTTCTTTCTTTCTTTCTTTCTTTCTTTCTTTCTTTCTTTCTTTCTTTCTTTCTTTCTTTCTTTCTTTTAATGGATCAGTTGGAGCAGCACACAGTTTAAAAATCATGTCAGGACGCACATCATGAAGATTTGCGTAACATTTGTTCAGAATTTTTTGATTGTACTATTATGCTAAAAAGTGGAAAACTGCCATGATTAGGTATTGTCTGATAGCGTATCTACAGCACTCAATGCACTCGCCTGCTTACATGAAATGTGCGTTACATTCTGCGTAATCATGACATATAGGCTGTGGGTTTAATGTGATCTTTTGAGCGTGTGTTAATGCAGGTGCTTCTGCTCTTTATTTCCTGACAGGCTGAACAGCGTGTTCTCTGCTCCCTGTTGAGTTTATTCTGAGAAAACTACGCTGTTGCATCTAAACGGTTCAATTTGGCTCGTGAGCATCGCAACCCCGAGACCCCACTCCATTCATAAACTCCACTCGTTCACCTCTGATTGGTCCGGCTGTAAACTGGGAGGAGATATGGTTAGATTAGCTTTACCGCGTATACTCATACATTTCATCTTCATCCTAGGAAAGGTTTTTATAACGCACACGGAAAACAAGTTCATCAAGAGGACGGTTCATGCATGCTTAAGCGCAATTGGTGACATTTTACAGTGTAAAAAAAAATTGAAAGCGTGGCGAATCAGAGATAGACGCATTTACAGGTGGAGACACAGAAGAGCCATCGGTGTCCTTTTCATCAATACACCCTGAAATCCTAGAAGAGGGCCTGCAGTCACTCCTGGATGGACTAGAAGGACTACAGCCATCATTCAAACAGGAACCAAAGAGAAAAGTTGCGCTCTCAATCCATGCAAGCTTTCCTGAGAAGACGCGCAGCGCGTAAAACGCACGAAAAGGGAAGCAGGACAAGAAGAGGTTAATAAAAAGTCAGAAAAAGAAAATACAAGACAACTTCTTGGACTTCTCAGAGCTGAATTGAACAAAGCGTTCTCCCATGAGGCTGGAAGGTGCCAGAATGGACTTGATCAAAAAAATATGGACGGCTCGGAAACTCATTCTCGTGGTGATGATTCCTTTATCGCTGCTGCCTCTGCCTCTCATCCACCCGTGCAGTGTAAGTAGATCCTCATCAGTCATTTCCACGATCGCACAGCGCGCTTTTACGCGCTGCATACTTTTGGGCATGTGCACTACATTGTGCGTTTAAATGCATTTTATTTAAACTTTATCACTGTTTACGTGCTTTTAAGTAGATTTTAAATAAATTTTTATTATTAATTAATTATTAAATTATCATTTTGATTAGTTTATTCCGCAAGGAATCTTTATATACGTGGAAAATGTGTGCAGACATAAATGAAACGCTGTTTTACAGGCAGACAGACAGGTTCAATTATATGTCTTAAACATTATAATTATAATATGGCTAATTATGAATTGATTATGGCCTCCTGGGGTTACTCGAGGAGCCGTCGCGACCTCTCACCTGATTGGTCGTTTTCCAGATGCGCTGTATCAGAGCCATGATGGTGCGAGTGCGCCGATGTTCTGACGGGAATTGCTTGTTTGAAACATCTGCAGGTTTTACAGATGTTGTTTGTTTGTGTATCAAATGGGATCTCAGATTCAGTCCAACATTAGCAAAGCCTGCAGAGAGGCATTGCGCTTATTTGAGCCTATTTCATATATTTACTCGAAATTCTCTAAAAATGGAAAAATAAAAATATATAGATATAGGCAGATTTCTTACTAAAAACTGGCCAGAAATCACAATGCATTTATGCATGTAGCAGATTTTTTTTGTAGTGTCCTGTGGTGACACTGTCGTGACATTACTATAATTTATATAAAACATTTTTGTAATAGGTGCAGTTTATGCATGGATTATTTGTACTTGTAATTAATTTTTCACACTGCAGGGCCATTTCAGTTGTGAAAGCAAATATGTTAACTAGCTAAATGCATGAATGAATGAATGAATGAAGTGGTGACAGGATCTAAGAAATACACTTATACATAAATAAAAATGACCTAAACTAACATAAATATAACTAACTTCGCCTAAAATCTTACTGCTGAAGTATCCAATTCCTTACAACAACAACAACAAAAAAGGTTTAGAAATTTTCACAAATAATTACAAAGAAAGGGCAAGAAGAACATTAAGTTTAATGCTTAATTTTGAAAAGTAGAAAGACTGAAATAGTATTTTCTGATAATTATTCACAATTTCAATATAGTATCATGCATTTGGGAGATGCTTTTTTTCCCAAAGCCACACACATTATAATGAAATGAGACACATGATTCAAATTGATCTAAACAGCAGATGTGGAAACAGCGCACAGATCAGGAAACGTCATTGTCTTCTGCCTTGACAGCTTTTTTTGCAATTCCAAAACATGTTTAAGAACCTTGCACAGGTCTACTTATCTCTCTCTGACAGAGTCAGAAATAAAGGGGTTAGTTCACAATAGTTCACTAATCCCATCTCACCCGCCGACTGAAAGCAATTATTCACACAAAACAATTATGTAGGCTAATGAATGCAATGTGTGTGTGAGTCCTGCGGTGAAGCTCGTGTTGATGTCGAAACAGAACCGTGTCGTTTTAAGTGCGTTTCCAAATAAAGTTGCTTGATGTGTAATCATCTAATGATCAATTATCATCAGTTTCCTTTATCATCAATGCCCCATCGGACCTTCTAACAGAAATCAGCTGGATCTGATGGACTGGTTTCTTGAGCAATGATGAGATTAGAGCAGAACAAAAAGCAATGTGCCAATAGAGGCTTAATCTGCAGCGTGCCACATAACTGACGGCCTTCAGCACAGTTGGGCGGTAATGAGAAAGCAGAAAGCTGCTGGCTGGAGTTTCTGAACACAGGAGCACGCTGAGGGATAATCAGCTTTGGCGAGAGTGCTGAGAGACAGAAGAAAGGCCAAAAAACAGACGACTGTGCCCATGCTAAATTAGTGCTTACTAAAAAACTAAAACGCGATTTTGGACCCGTATCCGGGTCCGCGGAGTTAAAGTAGTTTTAATAATGCTTTATAAATGTCATGTGTAAAATGGTAACACTTTACAATAAGGTCCCATTAGTCAGCATTAGTAATGCATTACCTTACATGCACTAAAAATAAACAAATTTTCATGTAGAAATTGCTAGTAAACATCACAAACACTGCAATTACTAAGAACAGGCCAGTTTTGAAGCTGAAAAACTCAAATGGTATCTTCTTGTAAACTGTACTATTAGTAATATTTGTTTGATTTACTATTTTGAAAAATCATGTTTACAGTGTGCATACAAAAAGTTGGTGCGGAAACAATTTTTCACTCAGAAATGGCTAGTAAATTTCACAAATAATTACAAAGAAACGGCAAGTAACACATTGAGTTAAACGTGAAATTTGGAATAGAAATTCTGAAATAGTGCTTTCTTGCAAAACGTATTCTGATGATCTTTGTTTTATTTGAAAAATAATTTTTACAGTGATTTTTTAAAAAGTATTTATTCATATTTGTTAATGTTAATAAAATACAACCGTTCATGCTAGGTCTATTAAATAATATTAGCAGGTAAACCTTTTGATTTTAATAGTTAGTATTAATTAGTAAATGTTAGAATTAGCGTAAACTAATATTAATAAATGCATTTTTCATTGTTAGTTCATGGTAACTAATATAGTTATATAATGTAAACAAATGGAACCTTATTGCAAAATGTTACAATGAAATACAGTGTAAAAATTATTTATTATTATGAGTACATTTTACAAGAAAATACAATTTTAGCCTTTTTACTGCAAAATTTCATGTTTGCAGTCTCGTTGCTTTGTATTTGTTTTTTTTGGGGTGAAATTTATTAGCAATTTCTGACTGAAAGTGTTTTTCAGTGTATGAAGAAATAACACTAAAAAAGCAAATCAGATGTTCAGAAAATTCAAATGAGTCCTTATGTAATATTTACTGAAAATTCTCAAATAATTGAAAAATAAAAATATCTGTAGGCGGATTTCTATCAATAATCATAAAACTGGCCACAGATCAGCGCCTCTCTGTATCCTCCTCATTAGCCTGATGTATTTATAATGTCTGGAATGTGTGAGCATGTATTAACTTTGCTTTGCTCGGCCTCTTATAAAATCTGATTAATTATGAAATATGAGTCACCTGACAAATGCTCTTTAAGTCAGCCTAAGCTCCGCATGCAGACTTCACAGGGCTGAGGTGATTCACATGTGCTAACATCATATTTGTGTTTGTTGTTTGCTGGACTCACGTGAAGTGTTGTGTGCCCAGGTCCACATATTTGGCAGGGCAATCTGGATTTGGATTTTTGTCCTGATTTGCGGACTGACGCACATGCTTTGAGAACATACATTGCTCATAATTAAAGTCATAATTTGTTTAAAGTAATGATTTCCTCCTGCACTGTACATGCAAATCTCTTGTTTATGTTTGTAGATGTGCATGTAATCAGCTCTTTATCTTATTTAAGAAGATTTTATAACTGATCAACTGCATAAATACAAATTATTTCCTCAAAACAGATCTTGCTATATTTCATATAGTCACCCAGTTTATAATACATTTAAAATGGCTTGTTAACAATTTCTTGGATGTACACATAGTACAAAACAGTGCAGACAGTACAAAAATCATGCTGTGGCAAGTCATAAACATGACTCAAAATTCTGTTAACCTTTTTAAAAATGTTTAATTTAAATAAAATGAAAATTGTAATTATATATATATGTATCGTTTATATAAATATAATACATTATGCATTATACAATATACTTTAATACTGCATTTGGCTGTATATTGCAATATTGCTTTTCTATACACACACACACACATTAATGATGCATAATGTATGCATATATTGCAACATGGCCTTAACAATTTGGTTTTAATTAAAATTAAGTTTTAATTAAGTTTGACCTTCAGCATTGCCTAATATAATTCCATCCCGAATCAAGGAAGTGTTTAGGTCACGTTATGAAACATGTTCTGTGTCTGTAGGAATCATCGTGTGCGTATGTCCTGATCGTGACAGCGGTGTACTGGGTATCTGAAGCCGTGCCGCTGGGAGCCGCTGCGCTCGTCCCGGCCTTCCTCTACCCGCTGTTCGGGGTCCTCAAGTCCAGTGAGGTAAGAAACCTCTCTTTGCTCTTTCACTGTGTACAGTAGGATGTTTCGTGCAACAGGAAAGAACTGGAATACTGTAGGTTAAATGTTTAATTAACATACATAAATAGCAGGACTTTGCGTTGCTTCTACAGCTGGTTTATATAATATATAACCTGTTTTCTGGGGTAAATATCTGACCTGGTTATATTCATGAGCTTTTGAGCCTAAGGGTATGATGCTTCTGTAGGTGATGTTTTAAGAGCATTGAATGGTAGTGTAAATAAAAAAACACACAAAAAAAACAGCGTAATTTATGCCACTGTAGGTTAAATGTTTAATTAACATACATAAATAGCAGGACTTTTCGTTGCTTCTACAGCTGGTTTATATAATATATAACCTGTTTTCTGGGGTAAATATCTGACCTGGTTATATTCATGAGCTTTTGAGCCTAAGGGTATGAGGCTTCTGTAGGTGATGTTTCAAGAGCATTGAATGGTAGTGTAAATAAAAAAAAACACACAAAAAAACAGCGTAATTTATGCTAGTGTTTTTTGCAGGGTTGAAATGATGTTGCAGCTCTTTAGCTCAGTGATAGTTAAAGGCTTTAACTGTGTGTGGTGGGCAGAGGTCAGAAAATAAGTCAGAGGGGATTGCAATAAAAGCTCAGAGTTCCCATAAACAACAATGCATTTTCTGTCATACTGACAGTGTACTTATAAGCATTTTCGTAAGTTCAAGTGAGAGCCATCCTAGGTAACAAATTTAGGTTATAAAAACGTTGTGGGAGCATTGTTTTAAAATGTTTCTAATATCCAGTTGTCTTGTTTTGATTACAATGTTATTTAAAGGTAAAATTTTTTTGTTAAAACATTCTAATAACTTTATCTTCACCCAAAATATAATGCTATTTGAATGTTTTGTTTTTTTTAGCATTCTAAGTAGGGCTGGGTTAAAAATATCGATATCACGATATTGATCGATTCTCTTTTTTACGGAACGATATCGATTCTTAAATCCCAAGAATCGATTATTCTAGCCTGTTTTCAGTTAACGGACGGAACATTGAAGGGCACTTCCCATCCAATAAATCGCAATAAGCATTGTGCTTTTAATATGAAGCAAAGTCTCAGATTTCAAATTCTGTCCATCCATTGTATTGCAGTATTCAAACAATAAATGCTGTTTTGGCTCTGTTTAATGTGGAGTGACAGATCGCTGTAGCGCCTCAGTTCAACAGATGCAGCAGCGCGAGGCACACGTGAACTGATAATCTCCTCCATGTTAATACCAGTTTCAGCACAAAATAAACATGACTAAACATCCGAAGCTAAGTTAAAAGAAAGAGTACATCTTTACAAGCCGTATCCTGTCTCATGTAATCTCTCAATCAGTGTTTCGTCCACGCAAAGACGTCAATATAAAGTCTTGTAAACAATGTCACGTAACGTCACATTTACCTCAGAAACAAACATATTCGGTGACCATAAACTCATTACTAGTTAGAAAAATAAACTGTAGAGAGGGGCATTTTGCGAAATATATGCACAATATCCTCCTGAGACCCAGCTATGGAGTTTTTGCCTCTGTAGTGGACATTATATTTTAGTGAATTTCTCTGAGACCTCACATGTCACAGTTTTAAGTCTGGATGTCCCGTACAGACCACATTCAGGGCTTTCCAGAGATGCAAAATTATTGGCTGTTTCACCATGACCACTCCCTCTCCTTGGTTTTTAAAAATGGCTGACATTAATTTAGTGATACAATTGTACATCCTTATGGAAATATGATAATATTTTGTAATTATAATTTAAATCTGATTCATTTTCAAATTGTTTGTCATAAATCACCATCTCAGGAAAATGTTATGGGGTTTCAAATCAAAATATGACCTTCTGTTACGAAACAGGACATCATTTCATACATGTCCACTGTAGAGGACACCAGGACTGAAAGCATGTTTATTACACATTTTGGGAGACAAAAGAATTGAATAGGAAAACAAATTATATATCAATATTTTTATGAAATATTAGATATTATTATGAAAATCTGGCCAATGACTACTCCCATTATTACACTTCTTTTTTCAACATGCTGTCCCAACAGCACTTTAATATGCAAATTAGATACAGTGTATAGATAACATTGTGCTTAATGGGAAAACCAGTTTATGGAATTTTTACACACATATTGCATAAAGCAAAATGGTATATCAAATCATATTGTTATATATTTTATAACATAGTTGAGAACCATCCTTAAACAAAGTTAGTCATAAAAAAATCCTGAAACCTAAAATTTGATTGGCGATTAACAAAAAATTCCCATTGTTTTTTCCTTTTCATGTCTACTCTTGTCATTTTATTTTTAGAAAAACTGAGTCCTGGTGTCCTCTACAGAGGACATATCATAACTTATGAATAAAATATAATTTTTCAAAAATGTTATTTTACCATTTTTTTCTTATGCTCTAAACAACGTAGTGACATGAAAAAATACTAAATTCACAAAGTTTTTTATTTCTGGTTCTCAGGAGGATATAACATATTCATTATAATTTTTACTGTTCTTATGTTTAATTTCTGTTTGAATAAATCCATCAATTTTTTATGACAGCCACCATTTAAATGTTTATATAAAATAAAACGAATTGAAGTAAAAATGTTATTATGTAATTGTAACTTTATTATTTTAAAAACTTCATTAAGTGTAATTTTAGCAGTTGTAGGCTATAGCTTACAAATCAGTCAATTTTAACTTTCAATACTATAGTAATGTAGTACCAAATGACTCTCATGTATATTTTACAGCATTTTTTTTTCCTTGAGAAAATTTGGCAAGTACTGTACCTGATATACATCCAAAATAATCGATATTGAATTGAATTGGTAATCGAATCGGAAGCTTGTGAATGAGAATCGAATCGAATTGTGAAATTTGTGTCAAAACCCAGCCCTAATTCTAAGAACATTAAAATATTGAGCTTTCTTGTCATGATTAGAATGTTATTTAAAGGTTACAAAAAAGTTTCTTGCAATGTTCTACTAACTTGTTTACCCAAAGGATAACATTATTTTAAATGGTTTTTTATTTATTTATATATTCTAAGAACATTAAAATATCCAGTTTTCTTGTCATGATTAGAACATTATTTAAAGGTTACAAAAAAAAGTTTCTTACAACATTCTAATGTTTATTTTTACCCAAAACATAACATTTAATATTCTAAAAACGTTTTCTTGTCATAATTAGAACATTAAAGGTTACAAAAATGTTTTTGCAACATCCTACTAACTTTATTTTTGCTCAAAATATAACATTATCTGAACGTTTCTAAACATTCTTAGAACGTTCCAATGTCCAGATTTGATTAGAATGTTTTTTTAAATGATCCAAGAATGTTGATCTTAGAATGTTTTCTCTTAATGTTATAAGAACGTATCTGAAATATTATTCAAGTTATAAGAACATTTCATAAACATGACTTTAAGAAGGTTTTGTCCTAGCATTTCAGAAACGTTTAGAGCCCTGTGTGTTTGCAGGTGGCCTCTGAGTATTTTAAGGACACCACGCTGCTGCTGATGGGGGTGATCTGTCTGGCCGCCTCCATTGAGAAGTGGAACCTGCATAAACGCATCGCTCTGCGGATGGTCATGATCGCCGGGGCCAAACCTGGCATGTATGTATTCAGCAGGTGTGAACCACACGCACTGCTGCAGACAGACTCTGTGAGCTGCATGTGTTCTGCTTGTGTTGTAGGCTGGTGTTGGGCTTCATGTGCTGCACGGTGTTTCTCTCCATGTGGCTGAGCAACACGTCCACCACGGCCATGGTGATGCCCATCGCTGAAGCCGTGCTGCAGCAGCTCATCTGCACCGGCATCGCTGACTCCCTCGAAGACTCGCTGACCGTAGACACGCAGGACGAGGAGAGCGGTCAGTCAGAGCATCCGTCTCAGAAGCTTTGCGTGCATTATGGTTATTATTAGCTGTGTTTTTGAATTGTTTTGTTCTTTGACAGACAAAGAGGAAAGCCAAGAGTCAAGCAAGAATCAACTTGAGCTGCTGGACCGCAAACTCAAGTAAGATACAGTCAGCTGGATTAAACTACATCTGTTAAACAAGCCTATTCATTGCAGTTTCTCTTTGTTTTGCAGTGAAAAACATCAAGTCCGTATATTGAGTGAGGTAAGACTAAATTTGATCGTTTATCAACCCTGCAAAATTATTAGAAAGAAAACAAGAAATAAAGGGGGTTTATGCTTTGCAACTGAAAAAAAAAACTGAAAAAAAAATAAATAAATATAATATATATATATATATATAAGTTTATTATAGTTTACTAAAACGAAAGCATTTAAAACAATTCCATTACATGAAATAAAATAATTGTTAACTGAAATAAAATAAAATATAAATAACTTAATTGCCAAAGCAACTTTTCTCATTTTCATTAAGTATAACTTGATGTACTAAAATAATTCAAATTAAATAAAAATGATATTGACATATTTAAAGAAAAAATGACAAAAATGTACACAATGAATTACTAAAACTTTCATTAAAATTCACAGAAAGTATATACAAATAAAATCTAATTAAAAATATTAGCAAAAACTATAATAGTATCTCAGTAATACTAAAATAACACCGCCTTGAAATGATTTATTTAAACTATTTATGTAAGTGATAGTAAGCATGCTATTTTTTTGTATTTATAATATATGTGAATGTAAACAAGGCACAGAGAACATATGTTTACTGTCATAAAATATAATATACTTTAGATATTTTTCTAAAAAGAGTAAATTGCTTGATTCATGCAATCAGTTGTTTAATATGAACTCTTGTCACTTTTAAAATTTGGGAATGTCACTCTGAAATTTCTTGAGAGATTTTTAAGATGCATTGTCTGAAAACAAGTCAGACTATTTGTGATTGATTCCCAGGTAAATACATCTTCTTTTAGGAACATTTAGATGATTATATATATATATATATATATATATATATATATATATATATATATATATATATATATATATAAGAGATATAGATATGGCTTACGAACACAGTTTTTGGTCAATTAAGGCCATTTGTTTAAATGTGTTTTTCATACTCTAGGAGTTGAATGGTCTGACATTAAAGCCTGGTTTCGGTCCAGAGTTTTATAAAGAATCAAACGGATATCTGCCCGAGGTGAGACCATCAGCTAGCTGACAATAACTCAGCGCAATCTGCTGCTTATATTTCTAAAATCATTTTTCCCAATTGTTCCCAAACAGGCTCCAATCAGCATCCCTGCGCCGCCAAGGAAACCCAAGATCCGGCGGGATTCGCTGTACCCCACCAATAGAGACCACATGATCTGCAAGTGCCTGTCTCTGAGCATCACGTACGCAGCCACCATCGGCGGCCTCATCACCATCACCGGCACCTCCACCAACCTCATCTTCGCCGAGCAATTCAACAAGTACGCTATCAGTCCCATAAAAGCCGCATTCAGAAAACACTGGGATTTGTTTAAGCACCTGATTCAATCCGCTCAATCTCATTTCCTGACGCTAAGCGCAGAAAAAGAACCCTTTCCTTTGTGCAACATTTCTTGGGCAAAGGTGACTGTATATTGTGACCTGGTTTTGCTGATGTAAAGATATAAATTAGAGTGAAAAGCTGGCATTTATTGGGTAAATGGGGTTTGTATTGACGCTCCTTTTATTCTTTCACATCTGTTATAGTCTGTGCTTGCTGGAAGTGCTGTTATCACTGACATATTCCAGAAATAATCAGTGTAAAGCGCTAATTGGCTTAAAATGGGTCAGCGAGAAACCTTGTGCCACCGGCTCTCAGTATCTTCTCGAGGCTTGTCTTGAACGCTGTGTAAACAGAATCTTGTCCTTTTCTTCTACACTGGAATCAGTTTGACCCCCGAACGCAGGGCGCTGAGCTGAGATTGAGCTTTCATGTGACAGAACGTGCTTTAATTATATATAAAAATCAAGTTATGAAGTTTTTAATGACTTGTGTTTGCCATGTAGGTGAAGTGTGGAAGGAGCTATTGATAAACCAGCTTAAACGCATTCATAACCCATTTTACTTCCATAATGTGACATATTTCAGAGCAAAACATCTTTTCTTAGTAAAAATGAAGTAGAAAAAATATAGAATGGGACTTTGTTTTATACATTGGGAATGCTGAAAACTGGTCTTTATTTGCAGGTTAAAACTACTGGAGAAAAGTTGTTTCAGAGGAAGAGCACGTTTTTTACGAAACAATGTTTTATTTTGATATTTTTAATATTTAAAGATATTTATATGTTTATTAACATTTTAATACTTTTATTTAATACTATTTTTTAATGTTACTTTATATGTATTTTAATATAAATTGTAATATTATTTAATATTAAAATAAAGAAAGAAATTATTAAAAAAATTATTTGGAATAATTTGAACAGAGAAAACATTCTCCACAAGACTAGGAATATGCATTAGATGTATATAGGGATAATAGAATAGAATAGAATAGAATGCATCTAGTTGCTATCACTTTTTCATGATTGGACTAAATAGAATAGAATAGAGTGTAACTTGTTGCTATAACTGTTTCATAATTTGACTAAATAGAATAGAATAGAATGCAACTTGTTGCTATCACTTTTTCATAATTTGACTAAATAGAATAGAATAGAATGCAACTTGTTGCTATCACTTTTGGCTTGATCGGACTAAATTAAATAGAATAGAACAGAACAGAAAAGAACATGTTACTATCACTTTTTCATAGAATAACATTTGTTGACATCTTTAATAATCATTTTAATTATATAAACACTGTAAAAAATGATTGTTGCAATCAGCTGCAATCAGTGATCCACCCCTGACGTATATAGTGACATAATAATACACTTATAATATAATGCACTGACTTTTTTTTATTATATAACACTGTGACAAAAGATTGTTTCATTTAGCTATCAAAATGTAGTGCTGGAATAACTCAACTAAAATTTGATTTATCCAAATATCCAAGCTGTCATGTAATTCAACTTCACATTTCAAGTTGCCCAAAGTTCAAATTTAAAGGAAGCACAAGCACTTTTTTTTACAGTGAAGTTGTTATGTGTTTGCAGCACTAAGCTTTGCTATAAAACGTCTGTTTCAGTCGTTACCCAGAAGCGAAAGTCATCAACTTTGGCACGTGGTTCATCTTCAGTCTGCCGATCGCTCTGATCATGCTGATGCTCACCTGGATCTGGCTGCACTGTCTCTTTCTGGGATGCAAGTAAGAGAAAAATAGACACTTTGATCTTGAAATGATTTGTGATCTAGCTGAACTCAGGCTGTAATCTCCTCACAGTTTCAGAGACACTTGCTCTCTCAGCAAGAAACGCAAAACCAGGCGAGAAATCCTGTCCGAGAAGCGCATTCATGAGGAGTACCAGAAACTCGGCCCCATCAGGTACAAGAGACTGAGCTTCTGGCTGTGCTTCAGAAACTGAGATTTTCTGTTTTCACTAAGACTTTATTTTGATGTTGTGATTTTTCTGGTGCACAGCTATCCTGAAGTCGTGACGGGCATCTTCTTCATTCTGATGACTGTACTTTGGTTCACCAGGGAGCCGGGATTCGTCCCCGGCTGGACGTTGCTGTTTGAGAAGTACATGAACCTCTTGTGTTAACCCTTACTCAGTCAATAAATTATTTTATTTTATTTTATTTTATTCACCAGCAAAATTGCATAGGATAAAAGTGTCAGCTAAAAGTTAAAATAATTTTTTTATTTAGTTATATTTATTATGTGTTGAATCAATTTAATTTAATTTGATTTAATTTGATTTAATTTGATTTAATTTAATTTAATTTAATTTAATTTAATTTAATTTAATTTAATTTAATTAATCAAATCAAATCAAATCAAATCAAATTAAAT